AAAAACAATATTTTGCTACAACAATGCCCCGGCCCAGGGGTGTATTGAAAACCATTTAGTAGTCAAAGAAGTCGGAGATGTGAAATTCGGAAACGGTCGGTCGATAGACGAGTTGCGGGGGGTCCTGTGTACCACACAAGCAAAAGCGCCTCCCACGCGCGGCCGAGAGTTCTACCGTACCGGTATATCAATATCCTGACACATACAGAACGGTAGTGTGAGACCAACACAACGTAATCTGATTGAAACTCTTCCGTCTACAGTACCATACCACCATCAACATGTCCAAAGAATTTGAAGGAGACGCAGGGGCACCGCTTCCAGACTTCACTGGTGCAAGAAACATTTCACTGGACACCGTAGCACCGGCATTGGGTGTTCAGAGTCAGCATGCTCAGCCAGATTATCTGGATTATGATCAAAAGGGAAGAGGGATGGTCACGACAATGTTCGCAAATGCTGGTGTTAGTTACTTGATGGGAATCACAGCCGGTGGAATCTACGGTCTTCAAAAGGGAATTGTATCGACTCCAAGCAGCAAATTAAAGGTCCAAATCAACTCTGTCCTGAATCACTGCGGCAGGTATGGAAGTAAAGCTGGAAATTCATTCGGAGTTGTTGCGGTTCTTTATTCTTTATATGAAGGTGTCGGTGACAAGGTACGTGTTATGGACTACTGATTGCATGTTTTTGTGACATCAAGTCTAAGCATTGCGTTGGCAGATGGAATTGGAACGATACAGCGGTGTGGAATCGTTGAGCCCTCCGTTGGCAGCTTCACTGACAGGATTCACAATTTATGCACCATCTGGAATACGTGTTGCAGCCCTTGGTGGTGCAATAGGATTGGGCGCTGTTGGAGCTACATACGCTGGATACACAATGGCGGGCAAGCCGTTTGGAAGCTACGGGTTCTTGTTCCTCTAAAGTATTATGTTTAGAATGGTATTTAATTTTTATTCATTACTGGAAATCGGGGTCCAAAATGGTCCAAATGCGATTATGCTTGATGGCTAGAAAGTACAACAAACCGTTGCTCGATTCCTCTGACAACTACACGATCATGATACTACAGTCAACTACTGTCTCCACAGTCCAGAAAAAGAAATCAAGGAGTTGCAGCCATGCAGCTGCAACGCAGGGAGTTCTGCTGAAACCCGCCCGTACGTCGTACGTTACAATCCTTGATGAAAGTTGACTTAACGGTATATCCGCCAGCATAGCATCTTTCGAGCACGCCGCTATAGAATCTTTCGAATTCAGTCAACTGCTGAAAAAATTCACTCAGCCAACTGCTGACAACTGCTGAAAATTTTTCAGCAGTTGGTCTGAATTCAAAGCTTCCGTTTCATCAGATTCCTTTACATGGAATAAGGTGAAAAGACAACATACGTAACGTGACTGACTGGACTGCCGAGTCCCAAGCAGATGTATTAGAGCGATTGAAGGCCAACAGTCATCGCCAAATATTCAGCCCAAGATCAATCATCCATCATCTACTCACAGCTGCTTCAGACCCCCGTAAATACACCCCAATAGCAATATCAATCTATATATATAACTGAATCATTAATTGGTATTTATGCTACTTCTAGAGTATCCAACTGCCGGTGGCAAGAAGGCTCGTAGAATAAACAGCGCATTTTGTTCTACCAAAAAAGAATCATCGGCAAAAGGAGAGAAACTTAACGACTGACAGAGAGAAATCTCCGTGTCCATTTTGATTGGAAGCCACAGAGTTCCCTTCTTTTTGGCTTTGTACCAAAGTCTTCGTAGAACCTTGCATGTCATCCGCGGGGGATGTCTAATTTTGATATCAACGCTCTGCTCTCAACATGGAATGAATCGAATCACACGATTTTAAAAAGCATATTTTGTAAATAAAATTAAGATTCTCTACATGCGTAACGTGACTGACTGGCCTGCCGAGTCCCAAGCAGATGTATTAGAGCGAACGGTCATCGTCGAATATTCAGCCCAAGATCAATCATCCATCATCTACTCACAGCTGCTTCAGACCCCCGTAAATACACCCCAATAGCAATATCAATCACCGTCTATCATGTCCAACAGTAGCTACATCAATGCACTAGTACGCTCTCTCTACGATGAGAGCCAGGAGCACAACGATAGCACGTTAAGTGGAAGCCAGCCCAAGATTCGAAGCCCAAACGCATTCGATTCGCAGTCAGAGCCACCAAGTTTGTTCACACGATCAGCTAACACATGGGGAGGACAGTTCAACCCTGATCATTTCCAGCGCAACGCGTTCGCGATGATGTCAGCAAGTCCTGTCAATATGGAGAACGGAGCGTTCGCCGCAATGACTGCCGCGTCACATCACAAATATGAAAAAAACAAAAAAAGAAGCGATCGCGTCAACGAGAAATCGTATTGGGTCAACGGAAGCCACGTAGACGAAACCATCACCTACAACCAGTATACCATCGATACTGCCGTTTTGGCTCCAACCACAGGAAATCAAGCAAGCGATCCTACAACAGTCTGTGAACTCCATCAAGCAGACAAAGACAACAATGGAACACAAGGTGGATTTCTTGATGAAGCGCTACACATCAGTATGCCCAGACGTTCGCTCGCGAGTCAACGCCGCCACCAGCGAATTGTTCGACGTGACTAGTGACGTGTACGAATTCGCAAGCCTACACGTCATCGACAACACAGGACAAGCGATCGCTACAGGACCGGGACCAGGACTTCCAGCCCCAT